TTCAATACTTATTTTGTTCTGATCTCTCACTTTTTATTCAATCCATATTTAGTTCTCATCAACTCATCCCTGTTTCTTCATGTTTTGCCACATAAATAATCCATTTTCACTACAGTGGTACTCAGCTGCTTTGAAACTCATCAAAATTGGTACTCAATGCATTCAATGCAAATTTTATTAGCAATGCAAAAATTTTGTCCTGATATTCGTTGTTTGTTTGGTACTCAATGCACAAGCTAGAACTTGTCAGTGTTGTCTGCCTTGTGATTCACTACATTATTCCTTATGGGAAAATTTTGTTTTGTACTAATTGTTTTTGGTATTCATTGTGCCTTCCGGAACCAATTAACAATCAGTACCGAGGTACTACTGTACATTCAACTTTTCTGTTTCTCCTCTCATATACAACTCTCACTTTCACAGAGCAAAGTGAGCCAAAACATGCTTTTACACAGTCATTTTTGCTTTTTTTGACAAATATTCATCACTTGGAAGAGATTATATATTACCAACTATTCTTCTACATGCCCATCTTTCTCCAATCATTTCCCTATCTTTAAAAACATTATATTAAGGTATGCAAATTCACCTACTTGGTCTAGTTTTTTACCAGGTATATATAACTTTTATTTGTCCGCTTCATTTTCCTTGTCAAATATATTTACCTTGGTCTTTGATTCTTTAATTTTCAAATCCATCTTCCCTTTTATATTTTACATTGTATCTAATAGCTGTTGAAAACCATTTAGGTTTCAACACCATCTGCATAGAAAAGTACATATGCATTCACATTCCCAACCAGCACATCAAAAATTCATTATAAGCATTCCTTATACATTTATTCATAAATATGTTGAACAACCAAGGGAGCATTACAGATCTTTGTCTTACTCTCTAATCAATCCTGAACCATTTCTTAAGCATCCCATTAATTCTCACACATGTTTTACTTCTATCATATACTTTCATCTCATTCTGCAAACAGCTTTCAATTCCATATCCCATAATTCAGGTAATATTAATTTGATACTACTTTTTCTCTGTATCAACAAAGATGGAATCAAAATTCTGTCTCCCATTGAAACATTTCTCATTGACCAAAGTCTACATTTGCGTGTCCTCTGTCCTCAATAAAACCATGCTGTTGTTGCCATATTTTTCATTGGTCTCCAATACTTGTATTCATTCTAGTTACTAAGCTAGAATAAAATCAATTGCACTGCTATTATTAGGTCGTCATCATGATCATATATCCTTTGTTCTTCAGTATAGGATTTATATAGAGAACAGACTGGCTATTTCTGTCTGTCTGGAGTTCATTGCAAGTTGGTCCAAACCTGCTATTCTATTTACAGAGGAAGCTGAGATCAGCAGAGGCTCGCTGCCAGAAATGAGGAAGTGACCTTAAAATATTCCAGCATTTTAGTGAAAGCTCAGTGCTAGTGCCGAGTTAACCATGGATAGTTTCCTGAAGCTCTACAAAAAGAAATTCTTTAAAAAATCTGGTAGACATACAGGATAAGAGAGTGATGGGATGGGATGAGATGAGATTCCTTTCAAACTTCTTACAGAAACTTCTTACCTTGTGGAATAAAGCTACAAATAATCCTGTTTAATATTTCCCAGAGTGCAAAGGGTTTGGAGAGAAGCTCTAAAAGAGCCTCTAAGAGTTGTGAAAAGTGTTTTCAAGAGAAAGGAGGGGGGAAAAACAATGTTGCAACTCTATAAAAAAGAAAGCAGTGCTTTAAAAAATAATGATCGTTTCATTCTTTGACTGCACAGGTTGGGAACAAAGAATTACTTTTCCCTTTTATTCTTTAGCAGAGGAAACCCCCAGAACTGTGTAGTAGATGGGGAGGAGAAGTGCTTTGTGCAGGGCTCAGAAAGATATTCCCAAGAACCCCTCTAGCAGCACTATTCTACTTGCCACCATGGTCGTTCAAGTCCTATAACTCTCTCGTCCAGGGGTCTCCAACTTTGGCAACTTTAAGACTTGGCAACTTTAAGACTTGGCAACTTCTGGCTGAGGAACTCTGGAAGTTGAAGTCCACAAGTCTTAAAGTTGCCAAAGTTGGAGACCCCTGCTCTAGTCTCTAGACAAATAGTTTTGGGGGAAATAAAGTTTAGGACTGCTATATCTGGGCTGCAAAACTTCATATGATCATTAGATGATAGCAAAGGAAAGTAATTCTTTGCTGCCAGCTATTGATCATATGGATTTTTGCAGCCCAGATATTGTAGACTTAATAAAGGGAGACTTCACTGCTTTTTTTCTGTTTAGCAAAGCCTACTAAAGTTTATCTAGTCCAACTTGTTTAATATTTCAATGAGATTTTCCCTTTCAAGGAATTTGTTTTCAATATTACAATTAACCATATTTGAAAATCACTGTACCTTGGAAAATTAAATTGGCTGGAATCATACAATGTATTATGTTAATAACCTGATTTATACAAAATACTAAACTGAAACCAAAATTATAACATTAGATAAAGCAATAGAGGAAGCAATTCAGATTTGTAGAAATGAGGAAAGTGTGCCTGCAAGCTCTTTATGTTATCCTCAGAGTTTTTAGAATGGTCTGTAGGAAGTATAGAGTAACAAAGATTTGATCGATTTCACTGGCAGAGGGTTGCAGGAGGTGGTGGCCACTGAAAATGGAGCTCGGGAGCCTGTTTCACTGGCAGAATGCTCGGGCCACCCCAGACCACCCCAACAGGAGTGATGTCAAGCTGGCCACACCCACCCTGGTTACGCCCCCCTCCACCCCCCCAAGGTCAAACCTGATGCGGCCCTCAATGAAATCAAGTTTGCCACCCCTGGTCTATACTATAAACTATACTTAGCTGACAGGGGAAATACTGCTATATCTGTTACCTCTGTGCTATAGCTGGAGTAAACAAACTGAACTAAGTTGAAAAATTCGCATATTTTTTCTAATTAAGTAAAATTATGTACTGATGATACTAGAGTGTAATGAGAATGTTAAGCTATGAATCAAAAAAGTTATGGTTCCAATTCAAGGTATGAATTTACTCAGTGGCATTCAGGAGATAGTTGCTATTTGTTTTCTGTCTTCAGAAGTTCCAGAATGCTGCCCAGGAATTCTAAGTGGTCCAGTCTAATACCTCCAAAGAATACTGGTATAGTATATGAAATAACACTCTGCAAAGTTTATTTTTATGGAGTGCAGTGTTATAGAAACGCTAAGCATTAATGTTCTGATCTAATTCTGAGTATAGAATTCAAAGGAATTGCACTGACATAAAGTAACATTCAATAGTATTTGCGCTAAGAACATATTCACACAGGGACTAGGATTGGTCAATTCTTGATGACTGATTACCTACTTAGACTGAAAGTCCTTAGTATAATAATTACTGCCGGTAGCATTTAATTCTTATTTGTGCTAAACCTCACTGTGGTCATTAATGGATGAAGATGCAGTTGTGAATAGATTTTCACCTGAAGTACTTCTAGTGCAGAAGGTGGAACTCCATTAAGAAAATCTAAATACATTTATATTGCAACCACTCTGCTCTTCTTCTCACTAAAGGGCTAGTACCATAGATAAATATCAGTGCTTTCACATCTATAGGAATTGACTGGATTACTAGAAAAGCTGATTGGAGGGACCCTTCTTTTACTTATATTGTTATAATAAGAATATTTTATTTCACTCATTCACACATATTAATGTACTGTGATTGACATCAAAGGTTTTCTGCTCTATGATCATAATAAAAGCTTCTGATTTTTTTTAAATTTACTAAGAGCCTCATATTTGAAACTTAATAAGAGCCTCATATTAGAATTAATACATGAGTCAACAGTTTGTTCACTGGTCAATTAAACATTGTAAGTTAAATGATACTGAGCGTGGCTAAAAGCATGTGAATATTTTAAATAATTGAAGGAAATCTAAATAATTTTAAATAAATAAAAGCTGCTACTGATTGTTTCAAAGAAAGCTAATTGTTCATAATTTTAAAACTCCTGGTTGTTTTGGCATAATAGTTAAAATGGTTTTAAAATGGAGAATAGTCTTTCTATGCAGAGAATCATTGATTAAAATTGGTTCTTCTTCTTTAAAATTGGTTCACACACAATTTAATCAAAGTTCAGTTGATCAAACTACAAATTAATCTCATTAAAGATTACATCCCAGTGCACACTGATCTAGTTTTATAAAAGACTTAATGAGAATTTGGTGTGTAACAGGCATAGTCTGGAAAAGTCTTTTAAAGGTGGCTTCAGGCAGGACATGCTGAATGAAGACAACACTGATTAACTGTGTTGAACGATTCACATAACTAATTCAATCAAATCCACACACACACACACAAAGAGATTTCATTGTCTAGTTTCTACTCACTCTACTACTTTTATATATTATATTTTTTGTATTACTCTGAATTTTGGAAAATAAAAAAAAATGAACAGTACAATGCTTACATGAACCCCTCTCCCAATTAAACTGATAATGCAAGAAGAATTTGAGGTACTGCCCAGTTCTCATATTAACACAGTTATAAAACAGGTGTTTAACCATGTTGTCATTTCATGAAGTATTGACATAAATTAATATTGCTATTTGAAAAGTCCAAGGCCCCCAACATTGTAATTTTGGGGCGGTATTAGAATCTCATCTTTCTTCCACCCTACTCTTGTTTGAAATTGTAGCAGTCATGGATGTCAGAACAGAATAAAATAATATTCTCAAGGTGGATACAGTAAAATAATAATTCAAAAGATTTATTCTTGTTCAATCATTTTGCTTTCTGGATACGTTGATTCATAATTTTCCAATGAATTATTTTGTCTACACACACAGTTTCTTCTTTGTTTGTTTTTTAAGAAAATCCATTAAAATTAACTCACCCCCAAAATGTCATTTCTCTACCTTGTGAAGACTTTTGTACTGGGAATTAAATATCAAATAGAGCAATAAAGACTAGAACATGCACTTCCATAGACTATAAGAATGTGATTTTTTTTACCTTCCTCTCTTTTGCGTTTGTTGCTTTCAGCACTGGGAGAAGTAATTCCCAGAATTCCACTAATCGAGTAGGAGGAGCCAGCTGAGTCTGTGCTTACTGAAGACACCTGCGTCACAGACCCTGTGGAGGCTGTAATTAGAAACAAATGAATCAATGGGCAAACCGACATGAAAAAATAAGCATGTGTCAACATCTTACAATCATCTCTTTGAGAAGGGAAGAGGAAGTGGCAGAGGGAAAGAGACTATATGCAGTCACTAGAATATCAGTTTCCAGTCTAGTCTCAGCTATCAGCTCTAGATACTATGACAAAAAAATGAAATAAATGTGGGCACCGCAAAAATAATTCATTTTATCAGTGGCTAAAAATTCTGGAATTTTGCTTCTGGACGATATGAGATAGGGAAAGAAGGCCTCAGAACAGATGGTGAAAAACTTAGGTTTAGTATTTTGGACCATTTATGATGTAGTAGTTAGTTTGTAAAGGTTCAAAATACTTCCTATGCATCATATTTATCATATCATACAACCACCTTCTAACTTATAATAGTGTTAATATCCCCATGTTAAGGTGGGAAATCGTTGCCTAAAGCAGATCATGAGGTTATGGCTAAGTCAAATTATGAATCCAAGTTATGGATTTTCATCTGACTTTTAACTCATGCTTTCCTCTAGCTCACAAAAAATTGATAGTTGTCATTTCATTCTTTTCCAGGATAGCATATACAAGGCCATTTGCTCGCAATAAATTAGTCTGAAAAGGAATGCAGTTTTGAAACCCGCCCCTGGTTTAAATTCCTTGTTATTGTGTGGCCCCAACAAGGGATTTAAACCAGGGGCAGGTTTCAAAACTCATCACTACCGGTTCACATTTGGGCGCATGCGACACTTTTGTGCATGCACAGAAGCGTCTAGTTGGGTGGGCGGAGCCTCCCACCACCGCTACCAGTTCTCCTGATCTGGGGCAAACCAGTAGCAACCCACCACTGATTTAAATTTAATTTTCAATATAGATGTTCTAGGACACTTGCAGTCTAAAGAAAAAGAGGGTTGTAGTAACAATTGTTGCTACATTTGCATTTTATGTTTAGAATAAAAGAAAATAATGCTTCGGGTCTTGTGTATAACAGAATCTCTTGGTCTGCAAATGGCATTTCTAACAAAAGCAAAACACATAAATAACTAACATTCTTTTGTCCTTCAATATCATCCAAAATCTTCCCTGCTGGAGTAGACAACTCAGCCTGCCAAATGATACAACTCGCCTGCTTCAGTACTGAGTTAATTTGATTTCGTTGGAACTCTTGGAGCAAAATACACACTGAAATTGGAATTAAGTATGCAGAGTGCATATCAGTGCCATCCATTGTTGGTTTTATGGCTAATAAAGATCCAATTTAATTTATTTAAGAAGTTATATGTATTCTATGTAATTAGACTTCACAAATTCAGAAGTCAAACATGATTCAAAATCAGGAACCTTGGATAAGTAATTTCTCTGCCTGCTCCATTCCCCTCTCAGTATATTCACAAAAAACACCATCTACATCATTCAGTAGCTTCCCTTCTAGAGAAGCCTTAAAGATGCAGCAAAGGAGGTAGAAAGGATACATCAGGTGGATTAGAGTTCTTTCTGCTGAAGCCATGGAGTGGGGAAATACACATTTAATTTTTAAATATTTCTTATTTAAATAATTTGCATGACTATTCAACCTGAACAATGTGACTTTAGGAAGCTGACAGAAACATCCAAACAAAAACAATATGTCTAATAAAGTCAATAACAGGCAATTTGGCACACATTCATACCCTCTCCTGTTGGGCACTATTCATTCCAGCCCCCAAACTCAAGGGAACACACATAGCCAACGGGATCAGGTGCAACTTGAAGGGCATGAATGGGCTATCACTGCAATAGTGCAATATATGATATTCGCTAAAGATCCTAAAATTGAACTGAAGTGAGAGGGACAATTACAAATTAATAGATTGAAGATTTCTTCTCTATGGACCCATCCGTATCTTGAGATGAAATAACTGGAATTAAATCCATTCCGTCTCAAGTGAAATCAGTGAGATTATTCTGGAATGCATTTCCCTTTATTCTGTTTTAAAACTGTTCATATTTAAAACAAATACGTGCAACTTAATAAACTTGTTTTTAATCCAAATAAAATTTACTGAAATTCATTTCTCTCAAAACGTTTTACAGAGGGAATGTTTTTGTAAAGGCAATAAAATCAAGGTATCTATGGTAATCTGCTTTTAAAAATTAGTTCAGTTGAAGTATGTTGATTCCTCGTCTTTGGTTCAGCAAGAGCATATCGGCTTGAATATATTATGTAAGTAACTTCAAATTAGCTGAGTTTATTTTAAGGAGTTCTATTTCTGTGTCAGGGACTTGGCCAAAAAAACCCTATAAAGTCTATTACTTTTCAATGACTAGAGTTTGATGGTATGCATCTGAATTAGGTAAAGAGAGAGAGAGAGAGAGAGAGAGAGCGAAATAAAGTTTTCAAAGTTTTGCTACCTCTTCACTGAAAATTGCAACTGCACAAAGAATTATGGAAGGCTTGGTTGATAGAAGGAAAAAAAACACATTCAAAACTACTTACTGACTAATGGTGCAGAAAATGTTATGAAGAACTATCCTTTTCTTGATTTATTACTTTAATTATCTGACATTCTATAGACCCCCATTAGTAGGATGATTTTTTTTTTTGGTTTAGATTTCAATTTTCTGTCTCATGGTGAAAGCTATTTATCATAATAATCAGTAAAATTCAAAACCTTTTAGCAGTATTTATAAAATTCATTTACCATGTTCAGCCCTTGGAGAATGATAAAGAAGGTGCATTAGTACGTGTGCTGAACTGTTTTATGCAGAATTTTCTGGCCATAAGAGTGATTAAAAGTTCCTTAGAATGAATACACACACACACATGCGCACACAATTTTCGTTACCTATGCTATGACTTGAGGCTGGGACTTGCTGGTTAGGTGGTTGCTGCACCTTTGTCCGAATAATCCTGCATAATAGACAAATTCCTACTTACAATTATATAAATAACAACAGAGAACAAATTATTTATGCAATATAATTAACAATAATGAATGTTATTGTTAGTTCAGTTCACTACTGTGGTATATCCCAGAGAGCATTACAGTGAACATCTGAAAATTTTGCTGAAAGAGTGTAAAAAAAAAAAAGAGAGATTATATTCACAAAATTAATCATGTATTGAATACATTCTCAGAAGGATGGTAACATTCAGAAAAGCTTGGACAGTCAGAATAATATACATATTATTACCCCATCAAGAGGAATTGAAAGAGTGACAATTGAGTAAGTGGACCAACATTAAATACAATACCAACAATAATTTGGTTGGTATTCCAACAACCAACACCTCCATTCCCACAAATCCTTTGATCCAAAGAAAGAAAGCTATATTTAAATCCCATTGACATTAATCAGATTTCAACTAATTATTATTACCACCAATAATTACCATGTCATTGGCTTCATGGAACTTAATGATGACTAATTTTATCAAGACTAAGGCAACTGAAATTACTGAATTAGATTTATTAATCTAAAATTAAGACAAAGGAAGCAGGGCCATTCATTGGAGAAAGAGTCAAAATCTGAAAGATGATGGGTACAACACTGTGATCCAAGCACAGCCCCTTTTGTACATGTGTGCAACACTAACACAATTGCAGATTTTGAGTAACCTTATAGATATTGGCTGAAGGGACCCCTTGTTATCATTAACCAGGTACTTGGTTTTGATTTCCTTCCTTCTGGTGCCATTGGCTGATCACAAAATTCCTCCAAACATTAACATTATTTCAGATAAAGATTTTTCTGCCATTTATTTAAACTTAGACTATTCCTTCATTAACAAATTTATGTATTCCATCACAAACAAGGGATTTAACTTGACTTATTGACACATTTGCAACAATAACTATACATTTTTTTAATAAAAAATATTGGTTTATGTATATTTGGATGGGGAAAATACTATTGTGGACTAAATCAGGACATCTACTATATAGGACATCTACAGAGTAAGTAGATGTAGTAAGAAGAGCTAAAACAAGAGATCTACAGTATACGTAAATGGTGAGCTTGTCATTGATTTCAATAAGAACGAACTGATACACTAATCTTGTCTACCTGAAGTGCTGCCTTCCCAGTTATGAACTTACCCAGTTATCTAAATCAGAAGAAGGCCTGAAGAAGTTGCCCTTGCTGCCAGAGCTTAATAATAGAAAAGGGCCTTTTCCAGGTTCCAATTTAGAGAGGTGCATTTTACCACTACTTCCACCAATCTACCTGCTAATTGATTGCAATTTTATTGATTCTAATGTTGCAGCTTTTATAAGTTGGCTCAAGTGTTTATATAAGCAGACAGCCAGGATACAAATTCAATATCTTAAATGAATAAAGTCTTCACTCAACTAACGTTCTATTAATTGCCCATAATTCTATGCATATTATGCTATGCTATGCTATGCTATGCTATGCTATGCTATGCTATGCTATGCTATGCTATGCTATGCTATGCTATGCTATGCTATACTATTCTACACATCCAGCACATATAATATTTATGTGCTCCAGTTTAATTTATTCTCATTTGTTAATTTTTCAGACTTAGAATATATTTTAGAAGAAAATAATATTCAAGTATATAAAACCCTGTTTTCTGGGTTTTATATACAACCCAGAAAACAGCCACAGAAATGTTGGACTGATCATGTAACTCAATTCAAGGTTTAAACAGTACAGAACAGTATGTCTAAGCCTTCATCTTGAAGTAGATGATGGGATGGTGGGATGATTATCATGATGATTATGTTTATCATGATCATGATCATGGTGATATAAATAATTTTAATAAAGTAACTGAAAAATTATTGCCACAAATTATTTACTTTCCCAAGTTTGCACAATTCGCCAGTCTATGAACAACACTGGTTAAGTCCTTGTATATCAGAGGACCAACATAAGTTTATTTTCCCAAATATATAGTTTAAAGCTATGTACTTAAAACAAAATCTAGAAGCAAGTTTTATATGTAGAGTTAAGCAGCAATTTTTTGCCGAGCACAACCATGTTATTCTTGAAAAGGCTCATGGATGTTGCATTTATGGTTAGTAAATCTAAGACCTTATGGAGAAAACAGCGGGGAATTAAATCACAAACTAAGTCATGATTCAACATGTTAAAATCCCTCAAACTTTTCTTAGCCTATAATAAAGATAATATAGAACAATGCCATAATAAGTAGATCTTTAATAAACCTACAAAAAATAGAACTTTATAATAATGCTAAGTTTGGATAAAAGAGAATATTTGAGGGATTTTAACATGTTGAATCTGAGTCTGGTTGTTTTCTTACAAACATTTCATTATATCATCAGTGTGTCATCAGCACTGATGATGTTACCTAATCTGAGTAATGAAACTTCTGCAAGAAAGCAACCAAGCTCAGAGAGAACCAAGGACCCTTCAGTGTTACATTTCTTTATTGAGATTTTAGCGGTACACAGTTTTTTACAGAATTCCTCACATTCACAAGCATACTTGGACACACCATCTTAATTTCAAACCATCTAGTTCTTCAATTCTTATGATTAAAAAAAAACCAGTCCTGCCACTAAATGACTTTATGGATATTCAGATTTGGAGGGGGGGGAATTGATATATAGAGAATTTTCTGTGAGTGTTCAAAGGTACACAAAGCGAACTCACATCGAGTGAAAAGTGACCGGATAAATAAGCCTCTATAACAAGAAATGAAACACTGTGATCTTGTATAAGTCACTGATTTGCCTCTCATCACTCTCTTACTGTCTTCATGTCAGTCTACACATCCATGCCCAGAGAACAAAGAATAGTAAAGGCACTAAAGCTGGAAGGAAGCCATTTCATGGCCAGTTTCCAGACTGCAGTTTCCAACCACAATGTCTAGCTATCAAAGCCCATTGGTCCAAAACCAAACAACGGCATTATAGTTTGGATGGTATATGAATTGTCTGTGACATTTGTCCATTCACTTATGTCCCTCCACTTATCAAGTCAGAACTATAAAGCATTCAATCACTAGAGGTGATTTCAAGTTTAGTTGTCATCCAGAAAACATTTCTTTTCCTTTCCTCACTAGACCAAGAATATAGGCAAAGGACGAGCTGTGCCAGCAATGTGTTTTATAACACATTGGAATAAAAACAGGACCCCTTGCTGTGAATACCCAGCTCAGAGGAAACAATTAAAAGCCAATGAACTTACTTCCAACACTATGATTCCAGATACAGGTAGTCCTCAACTTACAACAATTCATTTAGTGACTATTCAAAGTTATAACGGCACTGAAAAAAGTGATTTATGACCATTTTTCACACTTGCAACCTTTGCAGCATCCCCCATGGTCACATGATTTACGTACAAATGTTTGACAACTGGCTCATATTTATGACAGTTGCAGTGTCCCAGGGTCATTTTGTTACCTTCGGACAAGCAAAGTCAATGGGAAAGCCAGATTCACTTAACAACTATGTTACTAATTTAACAACTGCAGTGATTCACTTAACAAATGCGGCAAGAAAAATCGTAAAATGGGGCAAAACTCACTTAACAAATTTCTCACTTAGCAACATAACTTCTGGGGTCAATTGTAGTCGTAAGTCGAGGACTACCTGTATATGATTTAGATTATGCCATTTATTTTATTGAGTTTTAACTGCCACATGATGTATGAAATCAATATTAAGATTAGCTGCTCATGAACATAATTATCTTTACTTAGAGACCCTCTGGGCCTAAAATTTCTTATGAGCTATGGAAATTCTCTTCCTCAACATCGGACCCTGAAGAATCTTTTCTTTGTTGTTGATCCCTCACCTCTTTGTAGCAGATCTGTGGGAGGGAAAGCATTACAGAAAAATAATTGGTGAAAATCACTTTCCTCCCTTAGATATTTCATCAGCAGTGCTTCTCATGTACCTGGTTCCCAGACTCATGATATAATTAAAGATATATAATCCAACTGTATACAGTATTTACAGTATTTATAATTTGTAAACATGTGTGTGATGCCATTTGTTCTTTGTACCTAGTTCTGAATGAGATTGCACTGTCCCAGATACTTAATCTCAACTTATAACTCCTGCTCAAGGAGCAGGTTGCAGTCATGGCCAGGAAAGCCTTTTTGCCAGTTCATCTGGTGTAGCAATTGCTTCTTTCCTGAATCAAGAGTTCCTGCACTCAGTCATTCAAATGCTGATCATCTCATACTTGGACTATTGCAATGCACTCTACAAAGGCTACCCTTGAAGAGTATTTGGAAGCTACAACTGGCGCAGAATGAAGCCACACAGACAGTTCTTGCTGATATTACACTGGTTGCCAGTTTGCTTCCCAATCCAAATTAAGGTTTGGGTTCTTACCTTTAAAGATTTTCACGGCATGGATCCAGGTTATCTGAGGTGCCATCTCACCCCATGAGACTGGCCTGACCCGTCTGTGCCAGCAGAAAGGCCATGCTGAAGATTTCATGAGTCAAGGAATTTTTGTGGGCATGGTCCAGGAAGAGTTTTTCTGCTGTGGCTCCTGCCCTCTGGAACATCATGTCCCCTGAGGTAAGATACACAGCTTTTGGTCTTCCAAAAGGAATCAAAGACCTGGATCTGCCAACTGGTCTGGGACGCCAATGGGCTTGTGTCATTCTGGAAGTGGTTAATGGACTAAGATAAAGCTCCACCTTTCCCTATATCATTCTTCCTCCCTTTCTTCCCATCTTTATTAATTTTAACTCAACTTTAGTGTTAATATTTATTGTTTTAATGTTTTAAATATTTTATCTTATTGTTTTTAATTGATTGTAAGCTGCCTAGAGTCACTTCTTGAATTGCCTCTAGGTGAGATGGAATTTAAGTTTAGTAAATAAGAAATAAGAAAAATAACAAGAAAGGCAAAAAGAAAAGTCTGAATAGTGGAAGTAGCAGTATCTGGAGGCAGCTGAATAGAAAAGAAGGAATTGGAGAAGATAACAAGATACAAGTCCTGCAACTAAAAATAGAACAATTGTGGCAAAAGAAAGCAGAGGAAGTACCAATAGTCATAGGGGTCTTCGGTAGAACTCCAAATAGACTAGGGCCACACTTGAACACTGTCGGCATTGACAAAATCACCACCAGTCAATTGTAAAAGGCAGCTTTACTCCGAACAGCTTACATCCTGCAACAATATCTTTAAAGGTTCCCCTCGCACATATGTGCTAGTCATTCCCAACTCTAGGGGGCAGTGCTCATCTCCATCTCAAAGCCGAAGAGCCAGCGCTGTCCGAAGACGTCTCTGTGGTCATGTGGCCGGCATGACTAAACACCAAAGGTGCATGGAATGCTGTTACCTTCCCACCAAAGTGGTCCCTATTTTTCTACTTGCATTTTTTATGTGCTTTCGAACTGCTAGGTTGGCAGAAGCTGGGACAAATAACGGGAGCTCACCCTGTAACGCGACACTAGGGATTCGAACTGCTGAACTGCCGACCTTTTGATCTTTAACACTATCAAATATTTCAATCTTTAACACCATCAAATATCCACATCTGCCTATCCCAAGTCCTTGGGACAAACTCAATAGGTGGACAAAAATGCCGAAAACCAGTCTGAGCATCTGGCTGACTGTACCACAAACCAAAATAATAATAATAATAATAATAATAATAATAATAATAATAATAATAATAATAATAATAATAATAATGTGTATTCAGAGAACATGTCTGGAACAAAGTCCATTGCGCAAGCTAAGCAAATCCAGTTCTATAATTTGCCTGGATCATACAGCAACCATAACCATCAATTTGTATGCATCGATCTGTAATAAAACCATGTGTCTATAAAAAGAATAAATATTTATCTTTTCTTCATTGTCTTGTTATTTTATACTCCCCATTCAATGCCTATCACTTTTTTTTCTCCACATGACCAAGTTTTAGATTACAAAATATTTGGAGCAAGGATTTCTCTAATTCAAAAATAAAGACATCTTCAAATTGAACTCAATTCCTGGGGACAACATAGATTTATTCTATAAAAGGAAAAAAGAGTAGTGAAGGAGAAGAATATAAAAATCAATTACTTAAAGCACCTGGTGTAAATTAAAATTAAGATGAATTTTACATCAGCATGAGATCTTTATACACAAGAGAATGTATTTGTCGCTTAAAATGTTTTTGGTGAATGGCTTCCATAAAGGCCGGTAACAAAATAAAAAGCGTATATGATTTCTTTAAAATTAGCCTCATTGAACTCAGCAAAAAATTATCTGTAGTTATATACTGAATTCTAATCCAAGCTTCATAAAAGTGGCATGAATATTGCTGAACCCAGAGCTAGTTCCTTGATTTGTAGTAAGTGTAAGAAACAAACATTATTTTAAGATAACACAAGCTGAGGTAACTTAATCAAAGGCCAAGAATATTTGAACTTCTTCCAGTTACAACATATTGATATTAATATGACTAAGCTAGCTTTAACTAATGAACATTTTTAATTAGATTGTAGGTCAAGCTATTAATTTACTTTTCAGTCTTACCCAAATATGTTATTTGATTAGGTGATATAAAATTTCTTAAATTATATGTGTGATAGCAAGAATGTAGATTTATGTAGCTGGTCACTGCAGAACTATCACTTTGATCCACAATCCTATAATATTTGTAGCAGAAAAGAAAGTAAATCTAATAACTGATTCAAAATTCATCAAAAGTGCAGATAACTAGAATTTCTGTTTTAGCCTATGTGATTAATTATTGTGCTTTCACTTCATTTAGAAAAGAAATCAACTTTAATGTTTTAATAGCACTTCAAATAATCATTCCCCTCACAAAAAAGCTGGTAGCACATATTTTCCATTAAAATTAATGAAATATGTTAAATTGCAGGTAGTCTTCTTAATTTTAATCCAAATTTAAGCCAATGTTCTTCATGTTATAAATATACATGAAGCTATGTAATTCAACTGCAAAATACTTAGTTATTTAAATACAATTTGACAATCCACTGAAAAACTGACATTCTTCATTTTTGTATACTGAACATTTTTCCTAGTCTCTGATGATTGTAAATATTTTACTATTAAAATGCTAAACATTTTGTGGCATTCCAAAAATGTTTGAATCCTTAAGTAGAAATATAACATAATATGTAAAGCTTGATTTCATGTTGATTTGTACAGATGGAATTTTATTATTAGTTATATTGAAAATATAAACTTGAGATCAATAGAAATTAGTAGGGTTATGCAGTGATTCAGAAAAATCTGGAAAGAGACTTTGAACACAACTTGAGCAGTTGTAACTTTTCCTAGGACCAGGTAGCTGGCCTCTGCAGCAGTTTTAAATAGTTGCAAACAGCTACGATATATTCATTTCCAGAACATTCCAAGGCACCTTTCTGGAATCAAAGCTAAATCATGACAAAGTCCTTTAATGTTATTGTTGTCTTTATATATAAATACATAACACTTATACATCATGTATGTCTTTGATTTACCAAACAAATTTATTTAATTTTAAATCGAATATATTCTCTGTACCAGCAAACACCAGATAGCATGCCTGAAAAGTCTGTATGATGGACATGATATTTAAAAGATTCTTTGGATGCATATTAAGGTTTTTTTTCTGTTCATAATAAAAGTGACCAGGATAAAGATACAAATTTATATTCTATTATATTTATTATATGTTTACCTTTTGCAAGATTCTGGGTTCCTGGGCTTAGGTTTTGAGTCTACAAATTAGATTTCTTGAAGTATTTGTATTATATCTGTATTGATATTTTTTTAAGAAAAAAATCTCAGCTGCCAATTGTCTATTTATTTTGCAGTTTCTGTTTTTCTTTTGCCTTTTTTAAAAACATTGTTAGCCACCCGGAGTCACTTCTTTGAGATGGGTAGCCATATAAATTGAACGAATACATATAAATAAATACATAAATGAGTTTGACTTATTCTATAACAACTCAGAACTACCTACAATATCTCAGGAAATTTGAGATGTACTATCAAATTGCAAGAAATGCTAGCAAAACTAGCTTGAATTTCTATCAGGAATTTGAACTATGCTGCATATCTTAATATAGAACACTTTTCTTAATAGTGTTAATGCTTCAGTAATTAATATAACAAACACACCAGATAATAAATTCGCAGTAATCTACTTCTGATCAAAATGTGAATTTAAATAGAACTTACAGAGGAAAAATAGATAGTGTATCATATCTAAATGATATTTCAACTCTTATGGAACATGTATCTGGGATGTGATGAATTCCTACTGTAGGCGCTAGGATGATAGGATGGGTATTTTAAATGTTGTAAGCCACACAAAGACACTTATGTGTGAGTTGGGTGGTTATATAAATTTGTTTAATAAATAATAAAATCAATGACCAACTCTCCTTGAAAAAGCAAAAAGTATACATATTTGTAAGCGTAACTGTTTTTGGCAACAGAGAAGCTCAAATCACCAAACCTCCATAATACACAGTTCTATTTTTATAGCATGTTTTGTATTAGAATTGCAAACTATTTACCAAAATTTACCCAAAATCTGATAGATTCTGTCATGTTCTCATCATATGCTAAATAATAATAAACTTCATAGATTCATTACACCAGTCAAGAAATTGAACTTACCAGTTCCAGCCTAGATTCTCCATCTTTGTTTGAATTGTCAGATAAATTATTGATTTCCTTTCAATACAATGCTAATAAAGATGCAGGAAAATCTAGAATATCTGATCTTTCTCCTAGTTTATTTGTTCCTCATTTCTTAATTGTATTAAGTTTGGAGTAATTTCATTATATGACAAATTAATACTGTCATCTTCTCCTGAGAATTCAAATGTCAGCGTGTCAGTCTATAGGAACACACACACAAAATCTGGAATCTAGGACAAATGTTGTAATACTTTTGTTAATCTTATATGTGTGCATATTTTTTTTTATTTGATTTATATGCCGCCCTTCTCCGGAGACTCAGGGTGGCTTACAATGCGTTAAGCAATAGCCTTCATACTTTTGTATATTTATACAAAGTCAGCTTATTGCCCCCACAAACTGGGTCCTCAATTTACCTACCTTAGAAAGGATGGAAGGCTGAGTCAACCTTGAGCCTGGGGAGATTCGAACTTGCAGTAATTGCAGGCAGCTGAATGTTAATAACAGGCTATTAGTCTGCTGCGCCACCAGCGTATAAGTATGCATTATTTCTACCATCCCATATTAGAGATTGTTTCTATTTGGCTCAGTGAAGCAAACTTAGATGAAAACTTAACTGACTGGTACATACGGATTTTGCAAAAAAACAGCCATGCAAATAGCCAAAATAATCCTGTGTCATTTTCAGATAATAACGAACACTGCCAAAAAGCATCTCTACTGTGCAGTCTAAAATAATCTTACCTGTTAATTGAACTAACGCTGGGCACTGTGTCATTATCGCACACTCTTTCTGCTAAAAGTCTGTCCCTGATCTCCCAAGCAAACATGGTGGGGTTTTGGCGTTTATATTCTGCAATTTTTTCTACTACTTTGGGCGTGGCAACCTTTGGCTTTGAACCTCCAATAACTCCAGGCTTAATGCTTCCAGTCTCGTAATACCTAGGGTAAAATGCAGAAAAGAAAAGCTTAGGTTTAGAAAGCATTTTAATTATAAGCTCTCCTCCCACCTCCAATAAATGATAAGAATTTAAGAATGGCACAAATTAGGTTTTAGCATTTTCAATAGGAATATATTAACATATCTTTACGATATTGCATCACTGATATTAATAATATATTCATTTCTTTTCTTAGATTTTTGACATTATATATTATTTAAAGGGAGTAACTACAATACTGTTGCATGCATTTTTTGCCAGCAAAAAAATGAGTTAAAATATCATGCTTGAATTTAAAATTATCTCAAAATCTGTATCATTAATCTGCAACAAAATTAAATCATACCAGTATTTTGACTCTGCCGTATTTATAGGAAATTGTCAAAGACATGATATAGACATAAAGTGTTAAATTAGCATCATTTTAGAAAAGGAAGGAACTTAGTGACTATGGGAATTTGAACAGTCATTAAATGAACTATTGTAAATCGAAGACTACCTACATACAATAGTGACTGAACTTCGGTATATACTTTGTTGAGGAATTTCCACATTTATTGTTAGAGATGAATCTCTCTCTCTTTTTTTTTTCTTGGTACTCTCTATTTGTGGCCTAATAAATTGTTAATCAAAAAAGTAGAATACTGAAGTGAAATTCGACTACAGTCTTTCCTGAGTGGTCCCCTCCAAATATGTTGTATTTAATCCCTCATTCGGTTTGCCCTGCACATTGGGAATTGTGGAATTGAAATCCAACATATCTGGAGCTCATCTTTTGGGGAATAATTATCCAAAAAATGTAAGGTTTGCACAGAATCCTAAGGAAAAGGTTCCCATCCAATATGTCTGCTAGCTTTTTTAAAAAAATGACCTGCTCTTCAGTTCCAGTTTGCACAAGCTGTTTATTGGTGAAAATATGTCTAAATCTTTACATTCTGAGTGGCAGAGCCCCAATTATGGAATTTTCTCCCAAAGACTGCTCAGATGATCCTTGTGCTGCCTTCTTTCAGAAGATGAATCTCGTGACTCTTTTTCACCTGGGCATTCCTGGGTAACAACTTATTGAAAGCCAGTCTTCTTCTGGGTTAACTGCTACTTTGTTTTTATTAATAAACTTTATTTAATGTATTTATTGTTAGAAGAAACACTTCCCAATTGCAGGCTCCTGCTTTGTGAAATAGGAGGTTTGACTTGCCAACCTTTTATTAGCCTTCCAAAAATTGGAGCAAATGGCTCTCTTCCAGAGGCCTTTTAAATAATTAATTAAAATTGCTGCATTAAAATATTAAGTGTAATTCAAAAACTGTTTTAATTTAAATTAATGATAATCCTTTTTATGCTTTTATTGTTTTAGTTTATATGATTATGGTAAGGATACTTTTAGTTCTGTAAATTGCCAGGATTAAATGGTTTCAAAATCTAATAAATAAACCAATATTGTGGGTTTTATTATGATGGATTTACTTAAATCTGTTTGCATGATATTGTTGTGAATTGCACTAAGATCCTCTGGCAGGAAGAATGATATAGAAATAGAATAATAAATAAAATAAAATAACACCTCTGGTCCAAATTTAATTGTGACTTTCTTATATATGCAATAATTATCATAGAATAAGTAACAATGTGTTTATGCCTAACAATGATTCATTTATTAATTCAATTAATCAATTTTTAGGGCCACTCAATCGCCAAGAGACTCAAGACAGCCCTTTAATAAGAAATAAGAACATTTAGGTGCCTTCAGAGAATAATTTTTCTGCTTTGATCACATTATCTGACTTTAATCTAGTTAAACTAAAAAAAGTTCATTTTAAATCAATGTATTCTCTTCAAACCCAATAGAAATCAACCAGATTTAATGCAGACATTTTTCATGTCACTCCAAATTTATGAAATGGAACTTTTAAAATGCTTAATTTCCTGCCTTAGGCTTTGCTGATTAATAATTTATTGTTGTATTTTGGTTTTGGTCAGTTATGAAAATTCTGGAAGCACTTGACACCAAAATTTAAGAGCTAGGTACCATTTCAGAATGATTAGACACTACCTTTTAAGGTATCTCAGAATTATTAAATTATATTCCCACTCTTGGGGTGCTAAAAGTGAGAAAAATGGCTTGCCAAAAGAAAGTGTGGCAGTAGTGAGTTAAACCAGAGATGTAAGGCGTCTTAACTGGTCTGACATGTTGTTACCTAGGGATACAGCAAGTAGCATCACCCATTCAGTAAAACAAGGTATATCATACCCGAAGTCAGTCAAATTGCACTGTCAGCATGAGGCAGAAAATCCAAAAATATCTTTCCCCAACACCACCAGTAAAAATACAATAATAGCAGATTAATAACAATTGACCCTCTTTGTAATACTTGACATTTGGCCCTTAAATTGGCTGTTTTAATGAGCTCAATGGCAGGCAATGGCCCTATTTAAACCATTAGCCAGTGCTAATGAAAAGAAGACAGTTTGGATCTGGTTTGAGATCAGTCAGTAAAATGCCTTGCATTTTTTTTTTTAAAAAAGTTAAGTAAATAAGATCTGATCATTGGGATTTGATTTTTTTTATCCTAATGTTATCACCCCCACTTTGCCTTGGAGCAAGTAATGACTAATATTTACTTTGTGTCATGACCAAACACAACAATACAAACTGAATTATTTTACAAATTAATATACAGTTGAAGAAAGCTATAGCTTTCCAAACCTGGCTTGACCAAAAAAGCCACAAAACTGCCTCACATTCAAATTGTAGTTACTTCTGGAATTCATCATGCTGTCCATTTACACATACCTCTAGTAATGATATTCTCAAGCTCTATTGGCCACAGATTCATAACTCCTATCAAATTATTGTTATATATTTTGTATTTCCAACTATTTCTTTTGCCCCATGGTTAAACTTGAAACATGGTTGTAAATTAAGAAATACTGATTCCCAAGATGGAATGAAACTTGATATATGTCTGGCTTCTCTTATTTTTTTAGATACACACAAAGAGAAGAAAAGAGTGTTCTCCAATTACACTGACATTTTATGAACTGTAATTATTACTTATGAAAATAATGAGCTATGAAATTTCAATTTATTATTGACAACTTAAGTGACAAAGCTCCAGAACTTGATTCTTAATTCCATAATAATGCAAATACCCCTAAAGACAAAATCTATTCTGAAACATTAAAACTATTACATGTTCTTTCTGACCTGTTTACTTGTTTCAGTCATTGATACTAATGAAAATGATTATCTAGTCTTCCGAGAGAATTGAAGAAGGGAAAATAAAGCAGGATAGCTTAAAACCAACATCTGCCATTAAGAAATAGGACTTAACATTCCAGAAATATTAATGTTCTGGTCTAATATAAAAAATAAAATATATGAAAATATGTAATTGTATAATACTGTTGACTTTTATTTTTCCTTGCATTTACTAGCGTGCCTCTTTTAAGAAATATACATTGCATTACAACTTCTAACACTTCAGTTTTAAGGCTATTTATTGAAAAGTAGTCCTGATAAAATCAGCAGAATATTTCCAGAATAAGTTATCTTTTAGAATTCAATATTAGATCACACACACACACACACACGAAGTCATATTTCTCCATATATAAACCTACAACTGTGTTTCATTCTCTTATTTATGCTTGTATCAAATAATTGTAAAGAAAAATATCCATTTTTTAATATTTGTTGACCTCCCATATGTCTTCTGTTGACCGACAGCCAACACGAAGTATAGAGATAAATCAGATTCATAGCTATATTTAATATGTTAAACATCATGTTTTAATAACAGTGGGAAAGTTTTGCGCTCACAATTAAGAAACTTACATAATTAGATTAAAGAATAAGTTTTTAATGGGTTATAATTTAGCAAAGTATTTAAAATAAAAGTTCTGCTCGAGTTCATTAGAAATTGTACTTTTGGTTTACAGTACTAGATCCAGACCTTCACACCTGTGTGCTATGACTAGCTAGCAAAGAAGAAGTGATAAAAGTGATTTTAAAAATGTCATATAGGAAAAGTATATAAAAAATAACAGTTTTGTCTTGTACATAGGTAGTAAAATTTAATCAAATCTATTATGTTCATTTTTGTCGTCATTCCAAGTAGGTTCGTGCAAGATTGTTAAATAGATGACCAAATATTGACTTTTTTTAACTTTTGCAAATTTCCAAACCTATCTATTCAGGTGAGGGGAAACAATATATCCATAACACCTAAAACACTGATAAATTTTAGAATGAAATATTTTTATTTAGGCAAAAATATCGCTAATGTATTGGAAATCAATGTGGTACATCTAACAAACTACCCTTGGTGAGAACAATTAACTAATTAGTTCTAATTTATTTTTCCCTTATATAAATTTAATGTGTATGTCCAATCTTATTAAATCAAGAAAAAACTTACTGAAGCATTATATTGATGTTCAAAATCATGATGCTGTCTCAGACATACCATTTCTCAATCTACATTTATATTATTGGAAATTATTCTCTTTGTTTTTTTTAAATAAATGTTACTGTTGTTGCATTGCTTAGATCGGAACAATAAAACTGAAGTATCATTAATACTATTACATTATTTGTATATTCAATTTGTCCTTATTTACAATTTAATTCCATTGCAAAATAAAATACTCATTTTTATATATATAATTACAAAAAGGAATTTTTGTAGGAAGGATAGTAAAACTATCCATTTAATAGGCAAAACCAGGGCTTGACTTCTCAAAATTAGAAATTGTTTTGTTCAGAAAGTCTTATAACCAAGAAAATTATTTGGACTGCAGTGTAAAACCTCGGTCAAATGTACATTTAAATATTAAAGCCAGAAGTTCATGGAGTTCAGTTCATTTACTTGAAAGTAGACTCAAAGAGGCCAGTAGAATTATTGCTAAATTAGCACACTAAATTATTGGATTGCAGAAAGAAAACAAGTTTTCCTTTCACTTAGCAGTAACTTCCGGCAATTTTTCAGGTGAGTTCAGAGATTCAGTGGGAAGTTTATGGTACATATTACCGAAATCACAAATTCAAGAAGATAAATAAAGCATTTTCCAGCCACAATTTTCAACTATTCTTATTATTGGCTTAGTCACCTTTCTGCTAGCTGAACTGTTTCTTAGAATAACTCCAACACACAAACACCATGCATTATTTTTCTTTTTTTCGGAATTGGTCTGATTCACTTTGATCTGCTTTTACCTGCCAAGAATTTTGCTGACGCAGCCATGGCTGACTCGCAATTGCCTGGAGATGTCACAAGGTCGGACACCTTGATGGGCAAGTTCCACAATCCTTTGGCGAACAACATCAGGCAGCGGCCGACCATTCACAAAAACACCCCCTAATTGATTCACTCCTCCATGTCCTGAAAGATATGGGGGGAAATAAACAAAAAACAAGCAGAGAAAAAAATACATCTTTGTGACTGTTTAGAAAATGCTTTAAAAGGCTTCCTGCAGCTATGGCTTCCCCTCTACCATTAAGCAATGAATAACTTCTTCATAAGAGTTTGGACATTTCTGAAATGCTAGTTATGGTTTATTTGCTCAGAGGAGGACGAACAATGTTATTTACTAAAACCTAATTTGACACTGATAGCAATTTTACACTTGTGTAACTCTAATTACTTCAATAATTACCCAAGATTATGTGGCATGAGATTCAGGCCTCCAATTTGAAAAAAAAAAAACTCTTAAAAGTTATTTTTAGGCCAGTCCGCAACTCATCTGGCACCAAAAAATTATGAATGATAGCTATCAAATTTAAGGTGTAAATCTGAAGCTAAAATTCCTAACATGCTTGTTTTAATACCATTAAATTCAATCAGATTTACTTGCATGTAAATATATTTACAGTAAGTGTGCCAGTTTAACTTTGATGGTAAATAAAGCCAAGCCATGTTCATCTCTGAAGGAAATAGGGCCAAATTTAAAAAGGTGGCTCCATTGATGGGACTTTCAAAAGTATTCTGTTTTTCTTTCAATATCATAGCTCAGTTATTAATGCCTTATATAAATGACTCTGTGTGTGTAGTAACTTCAGATTTACATATTTTACAATGCCTATGAAAATATTAGGGCACTATATTGCGTGGCTCAGCGAGACAAGGTTATTTTTTTCCTTATATATACATTTTCACTATTTTTTTTAATAAGTTGAAACATCTGGTGTAAAATGGTTTCCAACTAGATAAATAGTAGCTAACTGGATAAAACCAATAAGCATGAAATACAGTGCCATGGAATAGTGAGAAAATATAATTAACTCTGAAATTGTTCATCAGACAAACTATAATAAAGTAGTAGCAATGTTGAACACAAATAATTGCAAGAGCCAGCATTATTGGCAAAACTGAATAAAGTAATTTCTCTATTTACAGAAGGCTTGAACGGAACACAATCTACTAACTCAGCATTAAATAAAAATCTAGTTAACTATATCATCCATGTTTATTAAGATCAACAATGTTACTATTGATAAACTTGACAGGGTCTGCATATATCTTCCAAAACTGATATATAGTGAAAGTCCATTATATATGCAGAATTAACTGAAAAATGGTGTTTTGCCCCGGAATTGAAGTTTAGCTAGTTTTATGTTTATTGTTTTGTTTGAATTACTAATATTTTATTTGACCTTTAGAACATTGTCTAAGGAAAGAAGGAAAGAAAGGGTAAACCAAAATTATAAGTATACTTTAGCAGATTGTTAAAAGAATAGAATGTTCAGGCATTGTTTTTACTATCATTAACTATGACTCTGATAATTATTGTTCAGTGTCTTAACTGCACAGTTTAAAAAATTCCTCAAAATTACAATGTCTTTGCAAAGGGATAGCAAATTTCAGCTCATAAAAAATGTAATCTATAAATATGATCTTTATAGATTTACAAACTTAAATAGAATTCCAGCAATTTGGAAAGAAATCTAATTCATCAGTTAATATGCACTGTATATTACTCTAATCTGGAAGTGTGCGTTAAGTTACAGTTTCTTCCGTGAAACAGTTCACTGTCAAGGGAATAACCTAGAGTTAGTGAAACTGAGTCTCTTGGACTAGTTAAACAAGGCAAGATAGTAAACACTGTAGCTTTCCGAAGCTAACAGACTTGCAGCCAATAATATGTTGTATTATTGCTGCAATGTATCAAAAATATATTTAAATATAAGGGTAAACAGGATAGGAAGTGGAAGAAGGGGGACAGAAAGAGAGAAGCATAAAAACAGAAAGAAAATCCATTATATCTTGAGGTAGAACTTCCATTAAGGCTAGGGAATGCTTTAATTCTACAATAATTGCAGTTCCTCTATACAGTTTAGTCAGATCTGTTAATAAAAGATAGCAAACAGCTGCTGAACCCCTTAAAACTGAGCCAGTATTTGTGGGGTTTAAGCAGTTTAATATATTGTACAGAACTGTAGCCTAACTGAATAAATCTGCAAGGCTCTATCTATGCTGCAATTTGCAGAAGCAAGTGTAAAAATTGCATTTCCAGAATTGCATATATTAACTTTATAAGAAAAATAAGAAAATAAACTAGAGAGCACAAGTGATAGTCAAATCAATGACCAAGTCTAAAAAAGCTGACATTCATACTTGATGTGTGTGGTGTGTGTATATCAGAAGGATTGTTACTCTACCTTCCCAAACTCAGTCTGGTTCCAATAATCTAGGGAGGGAGGGAGGGAGGGAGGGAGGGAGGGAGGAAGGAAGGAAGGAAGGAAGGAAGGAAGGAAGGAAGGAAGGAAGGAAGGAAGGAAGGAAGGAAGTCACTCTAAAACAAGAGAGCAGAAAAGGATGCCAAGGAAATAAAACAATACAAAAATATTATTGTCAGAGTTTCCTCTATTTTTTCCCATGGGCTGAATTTGTAGTTTCTCTCTGACATTAAATGATAAAAATGCAAGTAATGGTAAAAAATATTCGCGAACAAGCACAGGTAGATATGCCCTTCCAGAATCTGTGTGACGGTGAGCTCCAGATTTACAATGCTCATCTTTTTGCTGGAGAAGTATTTGGGATGGCAAGGGAATTACTAGTTCCAATAAGAAGAAACTCCCATCATCAGTGGGAGTTTTCCCTGTAACCCTTCTCTGTTATCACACAAAGATTCCCTCTTAGCAAAGAGAGGTCTTCAGTATTTAAAAGTAACACAGGAACAATGAGTGTTACTAGAAAGAGTGGGGAGAAAAATTCGATAGGCCAAACCTTCCTTGCTTTTAAGGAAATAACCCAGCACATAAGAAATAAGGCTAGAAGCACATGAGATGGGGGTGGGGGGTGGAATATAGTTTATATTTCAACATGCAAGATAATCCAAGCCAGCTCAGCTGCATACAATGAACATAGTTTCACTTCTATGAACAATTGATTTGTCCCAGAGAGAAAATCAGCTAGAATGCTTGCAAATTTTCAGGAAAAAATTAGCTGCTCCAAATACTTCCACAAAAGAGTCTGTGGGGCATGTGCATTGCACAAGTGCTGCAGTGTGCCATGTTTATGTGTGTGTGTGTGTGTAATTGTTTTTCAGGGTGTTAAATGTCATGTAACATGCTGGTGGTAGACAGGAATTTGTATTGGTTTTTAAAGTGCTTAAAAGTGTGTAAAGTTGCCTAATGCTCACATTATATATGCTCAATCAATATATATATAGCTAAATATATTGATATGAATATATAGATAGTCATCTCTAAGATTAATCTTTGTAATGTTTGTGCATCTTTGGATCATTAGATTGTTAGATAAATAATCTCCAAGACCCCAAGAAAAAGATCACTACAAAGGCATTAAAGAGGCCAGTTAATCTTTGAGCCTTAAACATAGATAAATGCTGATGTCCCTCTTGAAGTGTGAATAAAAACTGGAATGCATGTTTGTGAATGAGTGAAAAATGAGCATATGTATTCTGACACACTTCCATACCTTAACTCTTAATACTCTTCCGCCTGTCTAGTCCAGTTTAGAGAGGAAATTTTAGACATTTTGATCACCTGCAGAGTATTATCTGAAGTTCATCCTCAAGACTTTCCTGCTGTTATAAAGTTCAGCTGACTCAGCACATGATAATAGCAAACAAACAGCTTGATCCCTCTACAGTAAAATGCCAAATAATTTTCAATTTCTCCTTGCATTTTGGTTTTCCATTTGATAGGTGATAAGTGAGCTGCATTTGATAGGTGAGCTGAAATCTGAAAGCTCAAAGGTGATCAGTATGGATCTAACAGAGAATCTGGTTTGGAAACTCAACAATTCTTTGCATTTTGAGCAAAGCATCACAAGGTAAGTCAACCGCAACCAAAATGCTTATTTTGCCTCGATCTCATTTTTTTCCCCAAGTATGCCTTTTCACAAACAAATCGTCGGCATGTCAGAAAAGAGTGCACTCAAAAGAATAAAAGTTGATGAAAGGATAGCCACGAGAGGAAACTGGCCTTAACAGAGGAAAGAAGGAGGCTCTTGGAGAGTTTGTTAAAAGAGGTTTAAGACTTCTCTTCCCCATTGCTGATAACCGCCTAGCTCTACCCTGATAACTGGGGGGGGGGGGGGTTTGACGGGGGAGAAATACGTCGGTTCCAGCTAATTCTTCAAGTAACTCCGATGTGCAAAACACTGCTTTCTTCATAGAGCAAATCGAGGCATTATGCCGAAAAGATCCATAAGAGGGGGAAACGGACAGCGGACGGACGCCCCAAGAACCTCGCCTAAGATTCTTCTTCTGTGGACAAGATGTTGCTAAAATGGAAACATTTCTCCAGACCGTTTGCTCTGATGCTTCTGACGATAAGAAGAAGAAAAAACGTAGGTTTGTTTTCCCCGCAAAATCGAACGGGTACCGCGGTTGCCTCTGCCTTAACTCGGACCGGGAACGAGAATTTTGGGTTTTTTTCCTCCCGAAGATTGCCGGGGGCTTTTTTTTTTTTGCGCGTGACATTTAAAGCGGGGCGTGTGCGAGCTTTCTTTACAAGCAGTTAGCCCTTGTTTAAAAGGGCTCAGGTCAAAAGCTCTCTTCGCTTCGAGGGAGTTGTTTAGGAGACAGGCGAAAGGAAGGGCAAACCTTTATCAAGAAGAAGACTAAGATGGGTTTTAAAATCAGCCTTTTTCTGCAGTAAATTATTTCCTTTAGAGAAAGGGTTAGTTTGTCTAGGGCGTTACAGAAAAGTTTCAGCGCCTATTATTTTTAGGTGTTTTCTGACAAGAAATGGGACGTGGCAATGCTGTAGAGTAAATGGCTACATGCCACGTTTTCATCCTCTACCTGCCACTTTTGGAAAAAACAACTTGCTATTTCTCCCCTACACCCAGAGAGAGAGAGAGAGGAAGGAGATATTTAAATAACTACCACCAATGCATTGGGGTCGGGGAGGGAGGGAGGGTGAGAGAAATATAAAACTCAGTTTGGATTGGACGGTCTTTCCCCATCCCCCCCCCCCCCGGAATTGACACGCACACTTTTTCCGGTTTGTTTTTGTTGTCCTTACATTCCTGCAGAAGATATCGATTTATCATTGTTTAAGTTAATGGAGGATCCTTTCCCCGCAGCTTCCGCACTCAGCCTCTCTTCAAATTAACACAAAGGAATTTCCAGTGGGGAGGGAACGGCAGGCAGTGGGAACATTTCTGGCCCCATATTTTAAATATGAAAATGTTATTTCCCTACAGTAAGATGCCTCTCATAAAATCCCCAAATCCTTTTTGGTTCTGTTTGGTTTTGGATAAGCATTTCCTACAAATTTCAAATTCAGATACTGCCACCCAAGTAGTACCTTTCCTCTGAAGGTGAATTTATGGTATGTACTTGCCAACAGTTTCACATCTGAGTTCTCTATCTTGTGCTTACTCTGTGTATCCAATGGGGAAGCATGAAATGGTTTCGTGGAGCAAACGATTAGGTAGATAAATAGATAACACAAAAGAACATTTGTCTTCCTTAAAAGCCTGCTATACATAAGAGAAATGTGTTTGGTTCTCTCCTAGGTTTCCTTGAAATCTCTGGATCTAATCCAGCGTTTAACTCACCGTGAGAGACGGTGTCATTTCTCATAACCCTGTGTTAATGAAAAATCTCCTCCAATCCTCTCAGGCACAGCAAATCCCAAGCAAATATATTATCCATGGCTGCAAACTTAAAACAGCCGAGTCCAAACATATAAGGCTATTTTTAAGCACGCCATTACGACTAATTTGTTGTTGCCTTGAGAAGGAGAAGAAGCACCTTCAGCAGCTCCCATCGCCTTAGAACCCACGCTCAGGAAACATCAACAGATCACACACATTTTGGTTTAAGTGCTTGATATATATCCAGGACTACTTCAGAGATTTCTTAGAAGGGCATTCAACTCAGCTGGACTGTGGCAATCCTATCTACTAGCATTAATTTCAAATATTTTTCCATTATATCTATACAGGCGGACTAATTAGGATATATATATATTTATTCCAGCTGGGTGACTTGAACTTTGTAAGAGGGCCAGAGCAGCAACGGGGTAGACACAAAGAATCAAAATGTATGGAAGAGAAATAAAAATACGTTGAATGAGAGGAGAAAGAAAATGCAGGATTTAGGGAAGACTCCTGCATTTGTTCAAATAGTACTAAGTAGGTAGCTGTATAAATGTAGGTTGGTTTGAAATCAGTGCGACTTACTTGCCGGCAGATATCTTTAACTGAGAGCGCCTGTAAGATAACTGGGTCCCTTTTTGTTCTTGCCCCGGACCTTTTTTTTTGCTCTAATAATAATTAATCTGGGCTGGAGATTTTTTTAAGGCCGCCAGGTCCTAGAACCCGCGAATGAGTTCTTTAAAAATTAAATCAATGTAAACCCATTCTGGTCGAAGAGCCCCAGATGAGTGGAGGAGGAGTTACAGCGCACACGTTTAGTTTAAACCCTCCCATGGAAATCAACTGAGAGCTTCGCAATCTTTTTCCCTTCGACCGGATCGTGTCCTCAATAACGCTGCATTAACTTAAAGGGCAGCCCGTGTATCGTGGTTTACACGGGGAGGGAGTGAGCGGGACGTTTTAGTTTTGGGCTTGGTGTAATTCGGGTTGGTTTTAAACTCCTTCGAAATCGCCAGGGGAATAATAAACCGTAAATTGGAGGAGGTTGAGAGCTGATAGCGCGGCCGGCTCCAGCTTCCTGAGCTGGCTCGGAGAAGGCGATCCGATGCCGCTGTGCCTCTCTCCAGTGATGCCCAAAGGTGTCTCAGCTCCAGCAGTCTTCCCTCCTCCCTCTCTTCTCCCTCCCTCCCTCTCTCTCTCTCTTTCTCTCTCTCCCTCCCATTTCAATAAACAAACACTCCAGGCTGCTGGGGGAGAGCGACGGAGGCAAGGCGGCCAGCTTGGTGCCGAAAGGCAGAGGGGGGGGGAGACAAAAAACACGGAACCAGCCGCCTCTACTTACTATGCATCGCTGCAAACGGGTCGTGCTTACAGTGTATCTCCATCTGGGCTGGCGATCCAGGCTGCTCGAGGCAAGCTGAGCCGGGGGAAAAAATTGTTTTCGCTTTCAGAGCAGCTTAAGTTACACTCCTTAGGACCACTTTGCGTTGCCCGGGGATTGGGCGCTTTATTTACAAGTGTTGCTTGCAATAATTTTGTTTCTTAAAAAAGAAAAAAAAAAGAAAAAAAAAGAAAGAAAATCCCGAAAGACTTCAGAGGCAAGATCTCTCTCTCTCTCCAAGCCCAAGAGCAAAGAACCACAGAAATCCTCGGGGAAGTTATTCCTTTCATACGGAAGGGGCTTGGGGGGGACTCGGGTTGTCCGGACGCCACCGGCAAGGCTAGATTGCTTGAATCTTCGTCGTCGTCCCCCCCTCCCCCTTTACCCCTTCCGAGCTCGACCGTCTCCCGCCGCCAAAGGTTGTCTCCGGTTAGTTTCTCTGCTTGGGGACGAGCAGCGGCGCCTTTATTTCCCCCGCCTCCAGAAGGAGAGGGCCATGGATCCGGTCTTGTGGTCGGAGGGAAGACCCTCCCCGGGAAGAGCCCAGCCAAAGGAGATCTTCCACGGCGAAGCAAGAGAAGAGAAGCAGGGACCGAGCACCTGCCAAGCAGTTATTCCCAAGCTTTATCCCGGGTGTGGTGTGTGTGTGTGTGAGTGAGTGTGAGGGGTGGGGGTCACTTTTCAGCATTCATCCATCCATCTATCCATCCATCTTTCTTTTCCCTTCTTTTTTCTTTCTTTCCGTAAGATAATCAGAGTGGCGTCTCCGGCGAAGGCAAGGCTAGCTAGGGGACGAGGAAAGTGCCCTGGGTCAGTCTTTGTTTGAGGAGCGGCGGTGGTTTGCCGGGCATGTGCGGCTCCCCCTTTTCTCCTCCTTCGCCTTCTCTTTCCCTTTGCCCTGCTTGCAGTCCCGACCGGAGGAGGTGATCAGCTGAGCCCGAGCCTCAGAGGAGAGTCGAAGAGACGGAGCTTCTTTCCCGGAGTGGAGGCGGGCTGTGGGTAACCGCCTCCCAACCCGGCAGGGGTCCCAAGTCTGGAAGAAGAAGAAAAAAAGGGAGGCAAAGTCCGTTTGGCCCCGCCGCCTCTGCTTGTTGGAGGGGCAGGTGCTAGAAGCCGGGTGGCAGAAGAAGTTGGCGGGAAGTTGCGCTTGGAGAGACGCCAACGGAGATGAGGAGAAAGCGGCGGCGGCGGCAGCAGCAGCACAAGCGTGCCAGCGGCATCCCCGCCGCGCGAGAGAGAGAGCGCGAAGGAGGGAGAGAGGCGTGTTTTGCTTGTGGCGCGCGCCACGCTTTCTACCTCACGCGCCTTTCCGCTCGCGCTTAAAGTTTCTCTCTCTCTCTCCCTCTCTCTCTTACACACACCCCCCCTCAGGCAGCCAGCGCTGCCCAACAGCGCGCGCGCGCCTGCGCGCCCCGACCTCGCGGAGGGTCGCTTCCCTCGCCTGGCTGCAGAAAAGAGCAGGTACAACTAGCCGGCTCCGAGTAGTCCGTGTGTGTGTGTGTGTGTGTGTGTGTGTGTGTATGTATGCGCGCGTGAGGGCGCGCGCGCCTCTGCCTCCACCTGGCCGGCTAAAGCGTGAGGGAGGTGGCGCCAAATTAACCTTCCCCCCCCCCCCCCCCCCCCCCCCTTTTCCCCCCTGAGCGGGCGGTCATAGGGGGGGCGCGCACGCGCGCCCCTCCACACGCACGCGCGCACGCGCGCACACACACCTGGGCACTCAGTGCCCCAGGCGCCTCTCGAATCTCTCTCAGTCCCTCGGGGCGCCTTTTTGGATCCCTCGCGCCTCGGCCGCCGTCGCCGTCCGCGGTTGGTCAGCCGGCGCCTCCTTCACATATAAGAGGAGAAAGGCGCCTGCCGGGCGCAGCTTTCAGGACCGGCGGCATGTGGACAGCGGCTTGCGGGGGGTTCCTTTTGGCCCCGGGGTGGAGCAGCAAGGCGGGCGGGGAAGGAGAGCCGCGGCTGGCCCGTCACTCAGGTGCTTGGGCTTCCAATCAGAAAAGTAAAGTTACGACCCCGCGCGCATTGGCTGCGGGGCTCGGGGAACACCGGGGAGAGGGCGAGCGGAGGAGGCGGCCCCTGATTAGCCGGCGGCGGAGCAATCAGGAAGGGCGGCAGGCGGAGCCCGCGAGCGGGGAAGAAGGATTTCATTGACAAAGTAGACTAGAGAGATCGCTGCTCGCCTCTCTCTGTGTGTATAGATATATATGGGGGGGGGAGTATGGATTGGCTCGCGCGTGCACCAAAACCCTATCCTGTCTAACGAATGAGTGGAAGAGGATTGGGGGGGGGAGGACCAGGAGGAGGGAAACGCAGTGGCATGGGTTGTGCACCCAGCAATACAGACAATGAGGACCCTGCTTTTTTTATTCTGTATAGTGGGGGGAGGGGGGAACGACTTATTCCCAAGTGGCCGCGCTGAGGATTGCAACCCTGAAAGACGGGGGGGGGGGGGCCCGCGTGTTCACTTGGAAGTAAGTGTCACTGGGTATAACAGACCATCCCCGAAGACTGAGGCTTCCGGAGGCAAGACTGGGGACGGGCACACAAATGGTAGGAAGTGGTGTGTAATTAAAGAGGCACGCTCCGTCTGGTGGGAAGCGGAGAAGGTGTCGGCGGTAGCGATAAGAACACCTTCGCTTGCCCCAAATCGCATCGGGGAAATGTGAGGGGGGGGGTGCCTTGCATCTAGTTAATCAGAGCCACGTACTTTCCACGCGAACGAGCTCCCTGGAGGAACCCGGTCCTCTTCCCCTCCCCCCCTTATTCCACGCGCCCAACACAAAGCTGTTCGTTAACCTTTTAATGCGTTCAATAGTAAAAGCAACAAGGATAGAACAACCACGATTAAAGTTAACGTTCAATGCATAGGTGAATCTGGCCTTAGAAATCGACCCCCGGCGCTGGGCTTTCCTGCCTGCCTAAGAATGTGTCGTGGCTGTCCGTGGAAAAAAATAGGACCAGCGTCCTATGCCTGGGATCCTGTGCGCTTTGAGTGAAGACGACAGGACTCGTTCGGAGGGAAGCCCCGTTACATTTTAAACCCGGCAGGCGATCGGAGGGGCCCTGCCTGCATACGAAGAGTGTGTTGCTGCTGCGCCTTTTTTTTTTTTCCCCACCGGGAGATGAAGAGCTTCACTCTCGATCCGCCCTGGGTTTGTGTTTCTTCGGTTCCCAAGAAAGAGAGACGCCTTTGTACCTTCTGGTGGGTTCCAGATTCCGGGCCGTGGAGGATGCAGAGTTCTACGGGAAGAGTTGGGACACAGGGTCTTAAAGTGGCTTACTTTATCCCTGGGCTGGAAAGTTCTTTTGCTCGCCGATGTTGCCGCCAAGCCCGCCAAGAGCACAGGCTTCGTTGTTTTCGGCCGAGGCATTCGACCTCCTTGATTTTGCTCTCAGCTGGCCAGAAAACCCGGTCTCCCGCGCATTTTCAGGCCGCTCCAGCCGCTGAACTGACGCGCGGAGGCCGAGAGGACACTCTAAATGCTCAGGATAACAGGGACGGGCCTGTAAGAATCATTGCTTTACTCTGGGTTCTGAATTCCTACCCCTCAAATAATGAAAGAGAGTACATTCCGATTCCCACCCACCCACCCTTTTTTTTTTTAACATTCTGTTTTTCATTAAAAAAAAAAAAATGTGGGAACCAAATCATTTGGGGGGGGGGATTTTTAAGCATCATCTGGCGATTGTTTCTCAAAAGGACAGGGGCGGACCGAAGGGCTCCTTTTATAAAGTAGGCCTCAAAATGAAAAAACAAAACCGAGATTAAGTGTATGAAATAGAAGGAATGGTCCTTCCACATAGTAGGGTGTTTTTTTGTTTTTTTTTAGAACCGGCGCTGAGCTCTCCTGGTTCTAAACCTTTCTCTTGTGGTTTCTTTTTTCCAGCCTTCCTAAAATATATAAACACAACCTGAGACACAACCTGAGAGGCGAATATCTTTACTTCTGGATCACCGCAGACCGTGGGAGATGTGAGCAGCTTCCCTTAACAGTTGCTACTATTATTAACCTCTGCATTAGTCCATGGATGCTCTCCCTATGCATGTATGTGTATGTGCGCCCCTATGAAGCCAAGCGAAGAATTTTGCCTTCAAGACGGCCGGTATCTCGGGGCACCTGATGGTCTAAGCAAGAAATAAGTCTACTTGCAAGCCAAAAGCAATAATTTCTCATTCGACAAGGCCAGGATCCGGTTTTGGGGGTTAAAGACTTTTGAACGAACCGACTTCCAAGGAGGGGGGCTTCAGATAAAAGCAGGGTTAGGCTTATATACATAAATACATACATTTGATTTTTTTAAAAAAGCGGCTGATATTGTCATGAGAAGAACGTGAATACAATTCAGAGGCAGACATTTTTCCCAGCTATAACTAAAACGATTACAGAACTATGGTTTAATAATCCATCTAGAGAGAAATCCTGCTAGTCACGTGATTCCAAAAAGCACACGGTTCGCGCCTATATCCCTGTCACGTGTCCAAATTCTACCTTATATAGAATATTGCTATGAGCGTTATTTATCAGGAAGGTGTGCTTCCTTTGTGCTCACGCATTTACACAAACCTTGAACCAACCAAGAGTGCTGTGTGGAATAATACACCATAAATTTAGGATATCTCAGAACACCATAGATAAGTCGAACTGGACAAGTTATGTCTATTTGAGGATGGAGTCACCGTGAATCGCTCCCCCGCTATCCAGTTGTTCTTTCAAATAATTAGCAACTGGCTTGGTCAGTTCAGCCCACAACTCACTGAAGTCAAGCAAAGAAAACATCAACCTATGCTAAGAAAGGCGGATCCATCTGTTTGGTGCACAGAGGTTCTCCTTGATTCAAAAGGCGTTTCACACACATAAAGGCAATCCGCACATACCGTCCTCCCAGGACGCCTCTCTTTCTCCAGCAGCTGTTAGGTGGGCGCCTCCGAAGGGCTTCTTAGTAGATAATCCGCGGCTGAATTTCTTGGCCAGTCCCTCTGAACGCAACCTGGTATCCCCGCCAAAACGCCTCTGGAAAAAACACATCCTAAACGAGGGATGAGCCGGGGCCAACCGAAGCCGCCAAGCAAAGCCTCCCAAAACAAACCCAGCTGTAGCCAGTTCCTACCTGAGGCTCTGGAATGAGCTATTTGGCGATATCTCGGCCAAG